AGCCCGTATGTTTTGGCTTAATCTCCATAATTTAGTAGGGAGAAAATACGCTTTACTCTCTGGTAGCGTTATCTGCCTTTTATGGGTACCTGCAGGGAAACAGATTGAAGGTAATGGGAATTCCCCACGATGGAAAGAAAATCCTGCCACCTGTAAACTGCTGATGAATGGCCGAATGGCCCGCGTGCAGGTATTCAAAGTGCAAACATCAATAAACCATTGAAAACCTGTTCGTCGTAAAATTGCTCGAAATGATTTCTAGCAGGTACTTACTTCATTGATGAACCAATAACAGAATAGTGCCTTTAAAACCCAACATTCTATTTCTCTGAACGAATAACGTAATTAATTTTTCAATTCATTAAAATCTAAAATACTATTTTCATTTATCCGATTAGTTGTGTTCTATAGAAAAATATGACATAAACAATGGTATTTTTATGTTTGTTAGTATTTAAAAAAAATAACAAAAGTATCATAATATTTAATATTCATTTATACCAAACAACCTTATTTTTTTGTAAGTGTTTTCGACCAGAATTTAGCTCCGTTTAGCTATTTTGCTTAAAATCGAAAATATTCTTTTAAAGGATACTTATATTAATTAATCAATAGTTTCTAAACTAGCCATGCAATTCAAGATTAAATATTAATATTATTCAAAGAGAAACAAATTGTATTATGTTATACCACCACACGGTTGTTACATCTAATAAGTTGCAATATTTTTTTGGATTGATTACTGCTATATATCCCAAATTACGAAATGTTAGATAAATAATAACAATATTATCTTTCTTTCGAAAGACGGTTTATAGAAATTGTTTTATACTTATAATTTTATATTCATTATAAGTCATATACTAATTTAACGACAAACTTATTTATTCATATATTATTAAAAATGTATTTTTATTTGCAAACGTTAACACATTGTTGACTGGTGGCGAGTTCATTCATGTTTAAACAGCTATGCAATTTAAATTTCATGTAAACATGCGAATAAAATTATTATTTACTCAAACGTGTCCGTTTCCACAAATTTTTATGAAAAATAACGAATCAAAAAAGAAAAATCATGCAGCTAACTATCTAACGGTATTGACGAGCAAAAAGAAGATTTCCTTTTCGTATTTAAAATAATTTTTGTTACATATAAAGATGACCGCTTCAATTGAAAACGACTAAGAAAGAAAAAATTGTTTTGATGCTAATGAATATTAAATATTTCTTGCAATATTTATAGGACCTTTTCTCAATGAACGTGGCATTATTTTAATTTAAAACTGGCCAGCAAAGGCACTTGAAAACATACAGGGTGTTTCAAGACGATAAGACAAAAGAAATCAAAAAGTCCATTTCGAGATATAAACAGATAGTCCAATTATTTCGAAACATATTCGTTTTAAAACCAAAACTTTTCTGATACTGTCGCAAAAGTTGGCGCGTTAGGTAATTTTTGAAATTTCGAGTAATTATTTTTTTAGAAGATTCGATTCGATTGGCTACATTGTTAACTTTAACCAAGAACTTTCGATCAAAAATGAATTTCGTCGACTACAGTTTAGGACAAAAAGATAACACACCATACATTTTTCCGTATTCGGTACTATACACTGAAGAAAATAAGTATTTTAGTACGTTAACATCTTTGGACATGCCTCTATAATGTCTTGAATATCATTCACAATATTTATTTAAAAATGATAGTAACCTTGAACGATCTTCATTTATGGATTATTGTATTTTCCTTAAAAAGTTTTATAAGAAGATATGCAAAAGTTTATATCATGCCATTAAACAAAACAAATTTGACTTTAATATCTCCTCTACGTACAAAAAGACAACAAAAACCACTATTTTTTTCTATAATTACAAACCAGCGAGTTATTTAGGTGATTTTAGATGCTTCACCTTGTATATATGAAAACAAGATGGCGAAGAATCATATTACAAAATGGCAGATAATTTGAAAACATTAGTGATAAATTTTTGCGAACAAAAATAATTGCAGTTATTGAACGTAAAGGAAGTGGTTAAAAGAAACATCAAGTACTAAACATTATTAATTAAGTTTTTAGTTAAGTGCCATATCATTTTCGCTTCCTCGTATCTTCAATAATTGTATTAAAATAAAGTAGGTAGAAATATAAAAGAATATCAAAGAAATTGAACGTGTAATGTTTTAACGAGCAAAAATTAAATTTCGAAGCGTGTTAACTGTTTGTCCCGCAATGTAAAGAGGTTTCGCGTCGTAAACGAATGTGCAATAAGATGAACTGACGTCAGAGGAAAATATGATTATATTTTCTCGCGTAGGTATGCAGCGCGCGCTATACTTTTACAATATTTACATTGCTTATGTTCTAATTATCGTACAACGCGGTGACATCCACTCGCTACGAATTGTACCGCGCTCAATTTACATCGAATATAAATAATAATAAGGTTCGCCTCGATATTATGTGTACACGCGTTTTATACATGCGATAATAACTTCCTCGTACAGATATGTGCCGAGAAGAACAGTTCGAACGGTTACTAGATGTTAATAATAAAATATTTCGACGGTTAAGTGTACCGGGTGGCCTTCAGGATACGCTATACATATACACAAGTGTAAGTACTCGATTCGGTATGCGCGTGTTCGAACGAACGCGAATAAAAATATAATAATAGCGATATTTTTTGTTGTTCCTTTTTTTCTTTCTTTGAATAAGAAGGGCGCGTTTCTTTGGTCGGTTGGTACAAGCACCGGTCAGTCTTCGGATCTATATAAGAAATATCAAATATGTACACGTCTTAAGAGCTACGTCGACTACGTAATTTACAACGTCTACGATTATGTACATCGCGTTATGCTGATATCTTAAAAACAATTCGACGTCGTTTTCCATTTTTTTTTTCTTATATGTTATTTACAGAAACAACGTCTGTAAACTAGATCCGTCGGCGAGCTTACGTTTACTCGTGCTTGCAAAACACTCTGCGTATCGATTCGTACGAGATCATACACGTTTTTGCTACCTTCTTCGCGAGCAGCGGAATTTCTGTTCGACACGTCCAGCGTGAATTCTGTAGAAATTCTTTTCGTTAATTTTGACATACGAGTCTCGAGATCCTTCGTATTCTTCGGTGGATCATCGAATTTCGTTCGAATCGCCCTCTTCGAACTCGATGGCTCGATCCTTTTATCGGCGGTATTATGTAAATTAAATTAATTAATTTCGATTAAATATATGATCGAAGTAATTATTTTTGCGAGTATCGTTTGGTAATGAAATAAAGAAACGAGCTCGAATATAAATAACAGATCGATTATCAAAACGTCGCTTAAAGATATGTCACTATCTTTATCCGAAACAAAAGTCACGCTTTTGTGACTACAATATGATAGTCGAACACGATACTTAACTCGTACGAATGTTTAAGGAATTAACATTGTCATCGCGTTGTTATGACGTTCGTTTTCGCGAAAACTCAATATGCCTCGAACGAGAACGTTAAGTACTTTGATTAGGGCCTTTCAGGGATTGAGAGAGGCTATTTATCTTTTAGAGGCCTCTCACGTTCTTATAGAAATTTCCAGAATGTTAAAAAAATTTGTTTACGTAATAAGTAATATTTTTAGTACAGTACTAGCGTGACAGAGCAATATTATTACCTTTTGTCTCGTACCAGTTAGTTTGATTCATTACTAATGTTCATATAGCATATCCTATCTTAAACACGATCCTAATAATCGTTTGAATGATCTGTTCAAACTAATTATCTACTAACAACCTATTCATTGGAGGCTGTTCTAAAAATAATATCAACACGTCTGAGGATCTGCTTAATAAATCTTACAAATAGGTCTACCTAACAACACCGAGACGAAATGCAGTAATGTTGCTCTTTGTACCAAACACAGCACTTATTAACAAAATTTTTTAAATTATCTCTACTGTGTAACTTTGAGGCCTCCGTAAATGTGATGCCTGACTGGCACACCCTTTAATGGGGCCTGACTTTGATATGTGAAGAAAGTATAAGTAACAGATCCAAGGACAACAAATCGAAGAACGTAGACCGTTGATCGGTTTTTTAAATTCCATTGAGTATATCGATCGTACATTAATTTCCGTAGAGCTGTGTAAATTCGACAGCAGAAATGTTATTCTTGTTGCCACAAACACTGAATTTTAGCACTATCGTTGGCACCTCGTCGCTCAACAGACCCGTGATCCAATTCTCGGATTCACAAAATAGTCTATTACACGTCATACAAATTTTTTAATCTTACTTCTTTGGTCGAATTCGATGCTAAGAGTTTTTCGCAGAATTTGTATATATTTTTAGGTATTTTTACGAATTTTTTTATAAAGTGTCAGTTACAGTTGACCTCTTGAGAATGAGAGTATCGTAAGGCAAATTTAATTTTGACATTAAGTCCTCGACACTTTCAATTTATTTTATTAATGTGATTATTAGCAGTTTGGTGAAAGCACTGTGCTTTTTATCTTTTTCAAACTGTGTATTTTAAATGTATTGATATTGCAAAATATAATGGTAGGATTCACGATAAAAATGAACAGTTTAGACGCGATAATTATAGTCGTCTCGCTAGTAATTTATGTATTTTCCAATCCATTCGCTATTATAACTTCATCTCTGCAAATGGCTGCACTTTTTAATTTAGCATTTTATTTACTCTTTTATATTTTGTAGTTTTTTCCATTCTTGTATGATTCATTTTATGATTTTTCATTATTTGAAATAAAGTTTATTCATTTAGTAAAGTAAAGTTTATTGCAAACACAAAAATAAATTATATTCGTTTAGTTTGTCTACTTAACCTTGGGTAAACCACAAGATAAGGATATTTAAGCTTTCCTGATCAACTACTAGTGGGTTGCACCATCAATTACTGATTTTGGGCGATTAAAAATAGGCAGATATCGAAAATTATTAATTTTCGAATGTATAACTTTTATGTTCTTCAATTCTTTGAATCGTAGTTATAGCGAGGTTGCTAAAACATCCTGAAAGTCATCGTGATTGCTCCAACCAGATGTAAGAACCGAGGACCTGGTTGTAAAACACAAAAAATAATTTATTTGATCAACTAAATTATTAGTAAGTGGCCCTATGCATGTGCGACATCTATATTGCCACGATCTATGTTCTAAAGTAGGGTATCATTCGAATATTCATGCTTCGAAGTTATGCCCTTTTGAGGATCCAGCCCCCTTTTCTCATACTTGATTTGAAAATTATCAATAATTTTCTGTTCGAATTATGTTAATGTTAATATACGTTCGAATACGAAATTATATATATTTAATAGAAGTTTGCTACGATGGCATAGATCTATTACAAATTTTATATTAAAGAAAACTAAATTAAACGAAATAGAAACGAATAGGAGCAAAACTTTCAGTTACCGTGCGATTGCTAGTTGATAGTTTCGCTTTAATTTCACAATTAAGTGTCTGAGACACCTATAGTCGAATATTCTGGTATTGGTGGCTCGTCCCTTAAGAATTTAAATATAAAATAAATTACTGCTTTTATTAAAACAAAAATACTGTTCGTATCTCTTAAGTTGCTTCTCATAGGTGTAGGTAAATAGCAATATTCACGCTTTCATCTATCATGATTCGAAGCAACGAGTGCCGAAAATTCTATTTACTCTTATGTAAAACAAGTTTGAAAACGAGTCATCTAGTAGACAACCATTTCAAACAATCTTTAGAGTGAAATTGCAGCATCCTCATTCTCAAGGACTCAATAGCGTTGCAATCAGACTAATCGTGACGCCTATTTGTCATAGTCGTAAACTCTACGCACACTGTCACGTGATCCTTAACCGGTCGGAGATTCCGATATTCGGTTTTGTACTCTCCTTCGTTTTTGTTCCTTTCAGCCGAGTTGTAAACACGCCAGCGATTCTTCGCGTATAGTCTAAACCGTATTAAATATATTATTTTGTTATAATTAAAACTACAACAAATAGCTTCTCCACGTTCTTCGACACTTCCCTTGGCACAACCTTCTGTACGGCGCAACGTAGGCGACAGACGGCTCGGTGGCGTACGTCCTCAAACCGGCACTCACCTGGTGAACCTGTTCGCCGTCGTGGGCGTCGGTCAGGCCACCGTACTGCTGCGACTCGGCACCGTGATCGGCGCAATCGGCGACGCTCGAACGATGCTCCAGACTGTCGTCCGCGCGACGATTCTGATGCCCGGACGTGTCGCGATAGCACGCCTCGTCGTCGCAATTGGTGTTGAGGTGCTACGCGCAGGGCACCTCCAGTTGTTGTCAGTGAACGAACTGGTGATGGGCCTCGTAACGGTGTTGATGATGGATCACCAATGGCGGCGTGTCGCCTCCGATCGGGGCCGATTGATGAGGGTGCGCGTGCAGATCCTGCACCGCGCTGGGACTGTACTGTTGCGAATCGACGATCACGCTGGTGTAACCGGCCGGCGTAGGCTCCAAGTGATGCTGGGAGTGTTTGACAGGCGTATTCCCGGCGCTGTGGTGACCCGAGTGAGGCTGATACGGCGTCTCGTGGTGCTGGAGGTTGCCCGTTGCGTTCGCGGCGGTATTGTAGCTGTCGTTGTTGTTGAACACACAATTCGGGTACATGATCACGCCACCGACTTCGTTGAGGTTGGTCGGCGTTGTGTCGGGGATGTGGTGACGATGGTGAGGATGGTAATTAGGTGGAAGGGAGTGGAGACTCAACGGACTTGGTAAATGAGTATCTATGGCGTCCGTGCTGCCGCAGGAACTGGAGGAGGTTGAGTAGGGTCTCTTTTGCTGGGTACTTTGAGGGCTGTGCTGTTGCGGCTGTTGCAGGCTCGTCAGGGATGTCGCGTGATGCAGGAGGTGAGAGGGATGTTGACGTTTCTGTTGAGCATTCTGGGGACTGTGTTGCTGAAGGTTCGTCAAGGAATTGGCGTGGTGCAGCAGATGCGGGTGTTGCGTCTCCTGTGATTGTTGCACCGTCGCGAGAGGGTCTTGATGCATGTCTGGAATAAATAAATTTGTTTGTTCATTTTTTTGTACGATCGATTCTGAAAATTTTAGAAATATCGTCGTCTAATCATTCCCGTTTTTTGTGAAACGTTGCAGCTTTGTAGAGTGGTGAATAATGAAGTATTTAAAGGGTGGAACACTTTCGAAAGATACGTTTTCTAATCTTGAAAACTATTGAAGTCGCAAAGAAGCTTTTCAAACAAATTCTTTATGATTTTTGACAGAAAATAACAATGCGAAAAACAATTTTACCATCTTTATTCTTAATATTTCATCAATCTAAGTTCAAATTTTTAAAAAAATGTTCGTGGATAAAATTACGGTCAATTGAAAGAGTTGCGTGTTTTAATTGTATATATTAAAATAAATTGATTTATAAGAAATTTAGATCAACACGTGTAGAATAAAAGTTTCAGTGACTATTATTTTGTAACTATTTTCTTAGAATAGAAAAGTTAGAAGTCAGAACTACTATCATATCTACATCTGCATAGTTTCATCAAAATCAAGAGAAGACACTTCGCGAATGTTTCTTTTTAGCGTTTAAAGTATTTGCACGAGTTGCGTTTTTTCACTGGTAAAATTAAGAACGGTTGATCATAGAAGGAACGACACGCAATGTATTAATACCACAAATTATTTTTAAAGAAAACATATTGTACTTAGGTGTCTTTTCTAAGTAAGTGTAGTAATATTTATGTGCAAATTTTCCATGTTTTAAGATAGTAATAACGATACTGGAAGAAAAGAAGAGAACGTTTGCCTTTATACTCCATAGACACCTATGGGGGATTCTATCAAAACCAGTGCATAAAAATAATGAGCAGTACAGTACACGAATGGAGTAAAATTAATGTTATCATATTGCAAAGTTAGTTTGTAATATGAAGAATGAGGTACTTGAGTTATAAGACATAATGATAGAAATATTAATTCCTAACCCTTTGCACTCTACTGACGAAGCTACGATGACATATATAATATAGACACAATTCAATTCAAATTTAATTTATAGTAATAGAAACTAAATTAACGAAACAAACGAAAAAAATGTAAATGATAAAGCAATTTTAAATATTGCGAGGAAAACAGCGTAAAGGGTGCAAAAGAGTGCAAAGGGTTAATGTTGTAGTCGTTGTTTTATAGAATACTGTAGTCAACTGTATCTTCGAATTTCGTTATTTCTTTACATAATTATAATAACATTCTATTTTGTTTCCAAATGAATATATCGATCTTTTGTGTTTGTAACATTGGTTTTTTATTGTTTAATATTTTTCTAACGTTTCAACCTATTTTTAAAGCTATAAGCAAAGTACTTTCATTTTATTAAAAAATAGTAGTGTCCTTATGCAAAATTCGTCCATTGTATTAATGTAATTCTAAAATGTAAAATTTTAATAAAATAAAATATATCACGTGTCGTTTCTCCCATGACTGATAACTAGACTGCGAATATTTATGAAAATTCATATTTTTATTAATAGAATTAATGAAGTGGGAGCTTTGTAGAGGGTTGCCTCAACTCTTAAATACAGGGTGTTCAGCCACCCTTGGGAAGAATTTTAATGGGAGATTCTAAAGGCTAAAATAAGACGAAAATCAAGAACATCAATTTCTCGATTGAGGTTACGTTAAAAAGTTATTAAAAAATTAGATAAAAAAATTTCAAATCATTTTGAAAAAATTATTTTTGATTGCGAGGGTCAATTACAGTAATATTTGGTGAATAGACCTAACCTCAAAATCTTACGCACTTTCGAGAAAAAAATTCTTTACCGAAAATATAATTTCTAGCCAGAAATGTTTCCCTGAAATTTCATGCGTATGTTTAAAAAATCATAAATTTTTTTTGTGTAAATTTAAGGATTTTAATGATTCAAAATTCAAACAATGTGTATTAATAGAGTTCTGAAGCCCCATAAAAGTGGGCCGAAAAAATACATTGAAGGTGTGAACTATGAGAAATGTGAAGAATGAGAACTATTATAGCGCGCACGCAGCTGTTCGTAGATTGCTGTTCTACGGGCGGAACTTCAGACACTAATAACTTTTTAACAAAGCCTCGATCAACAAATTAGTATTCTTGATTTACTTCTTATTTTGGTCTCTAGAATCTCCCATTAAAATTTTTCCCAGAGGTGGCCAAACACCCTGTATACTAATTCGTATCTTACTTTAAGTATTTTTCTTAAATTATTCCATATTAAGTGGAAAATTTCCTATAAATGCATAAACATCCGCAGTCTACTGATAAAAATCGCAATCTTCGATGCGTTTAAAGTATCCTTACCTCCGTATTGATAGAACAGGTCAGGGCTGTAATAGGAGCTGTCTTCGTGAGCGTTGCCATTTACACTTGCGGTGTAAGGCGACGATATATAATGGCTGTGATTTGTCGAACCGATGTACTCCTGATTAGGGTAACCAGCGCCGACCGCGTAATCGTTATCCGGCGGTTCTTTTGTTCTGTTTCGATACGCCGGAAGACTAGGGCTGTGATTCTCCAAATCGTTCGCCCCTCCGCTGACCGTCGGGGTATCCAACGGCGTGTTGGGGGGATTGCCTGGGCTCGAGCACGAGGATATTTGCTCGCAATTCAGCACCAAGTCTGTGCTCTCCGGTTCCGTCAACACGTAGTTAACCGACACGATGCAGTGCGGCCTAGAGCTTCTGGAGTTGTGGACGATCGTGACGTACGATTGCATCCAGACCCAACCACCCGATTTCGTTAAGAACCTGTAGTACCTGGTCGTCACTTGGCTCTTGTACAACACTGAAAACACAAAAAAAAAAACAAAATTTTAGAGAATTCTAACGTTTTACCGTCTACAGTAACGATTTTTAAAATGAACATCGCTACAGTAGATATTTATACTGAGAAGGAAAGAGCAAGGCCTTCGGGTTACCGATTTCATTTAAACTTTGCACACTTGTAGACTTAGTTACCTGGTTTAAGAATATTGTATAACATTATAGGGGCAGATACAAATATCATTTTAATCTATTACGTGTCAATTACCACCATGGGGCGTGATAGTAAAGTAAGAGTCTACTATCCAGAAGGTTCAAGTGTTCGATTCCCAATAACTACATTACTTTTATAATTGGAATAGTCAAATTTAAACATAAAAACATTAATCTAATTATCTTTCAAATAAAATACCTTTATTTATAACATAAATTTTACTTTATTTGTGAAGTAAGATCTTAATTGCTTTCTTTGTTTTCAGCTACTGTGGATGGAGAATTTCACCAGATTATCAATACCGTATATTTTTATATACGTTATACATTTTAATAAATATAAAGACACTTTACTTAAAAGTTAATTACCATCTTTATGTGTGAATTTCATTATTCAAATTTACCTATATTAAGAGAAAAAAACTTATATATTTATTGGGAATCGAACTGGGACCTACTTGGGTAGGGTCTCTTTACAATCACACCCTATAGTGGCAATTGACACTCGATACATTCAAATTATATTTGTAGATAATAATGAAACCTCAATCATTAATATTTAAAAACTTATTGACTATCTACCCCTAGAATGTTATATATTTTTAAACCGGATAACTAAATCTACAAGTGTTCAAAGTTTTAACAAAATCATAACCCGAAGGCCTTGCCTTCTCCTTGTCAGAGTCGCTTCTATCTTTTGCCGACGGCTATAGTCGACAACCCGAAGAAAAGGACAGTTAGTGAAAAAAGCTTTGTTTTTTATACGAATCGTCGCAGGCACCCCAATTTGTATCGCATTTCACTGTTCACTGACTCCAAAGGGGATCCTCCCAGTTGGAACAGAAACGTTCAATCTACGAATCGCGTCTGGGATTCATGTTAAGAATCATTACCGTAGCTTATATCGTTTCAGTCGAGGCAATCTTCTTTTATAATTTCTTCGAAGATAAACAGAAATTTCACGCAGAAGGCAATTTGCTAGTGGATTTAGATCTCGGTGGAGATTCCGGCGAAGAGAGCTCGACGCAAAGAAAATTTTTGGGCGTAACGTCGATCGTACAATCCGCAGGCGCAGACATTAGTGGCATTATGTCAGGCTCCCTTCGAGTTGCGCTCGCGAAACTGCGAGTCTGTTCAAACAGTGATAGCAGTAACAGCCTCCTCCTCTCTTGCCCTCTTCTACCCAATCCCTTGCCCCCTCCATCTCTCTTCTTTCTATCCACTCTCGCGCTGCTGACGTTCACACACAGACACGTACACGCAGGCAGCCTCTCTTTTACTCTCGTAGCGTCGTAGCAGCATTGTTCAATCAATAATGTACACCGTGTATGTACTACGTATGCACATAGTTAGGCTTTAACATGTTGGCGCGCGGAGCTTCGCGGCGAAGAAAAAGAAGAGAAGAAGGAAAATGCGCTGTTATACTTGCTCCGCTGCCTCTCCTCGAAAGTCGGGACACGGAGGATGAGAGAAAAGGAAAGATCAAAGGATATTTCGTCAGCGAGGGCGCCGTCGAGTTAAGCAGCGTCAGCTGCTTCTGGCCTCACGAGAGTCTCTTCTTCGAGCACTCCGATACCACGTCGACGTCTCCAAGACCGTTTTCGGACTACGCGCGACAACAAGGAGAATAAGGCCTATTTTCGTTCACAGCTACCCCCTTTCGTCCGTTTAGATTTTTCCACTGGGAACAAGTCTTCTAATATACAGGCTGTTTGGCTAACCCTGGGAAACATTTTCATGGGAGATTCTAGAGGCTAAACTAAGACGAAAATTAAGAATATCAATTTGTTGATTGAGGCCTGTGAGGCTGTCGATACGTCACTAACAAGGAACCATCGCGAACGGTCCGGCTTCGATTTTGATGAAACTTTGTACTCTTATAAAGCAGCCAAAAATAATCGACACGTATTTTTTTTTAGTTGCGGTAACTCGAGTTTAAGGGGTGAAACCACCCCTTGAAGTTTTGGCTCGAAACGGCTATCTCGAAAACGGAAAGAGATACAAAAAATTGTTAATGGGCGAGGTTAATGGTTTCTTATGTACAATAACATGGTGTTAAAAAATTTTTAAAAATTCAATTTGTTTATAACAAAAAAAAATTTATTAACTTAATTTTTCATTTTATTGAAATTTTCATAATGACAAAAAATGACGAGCATTTTATTCCAAATCCATTGGTATGCGATTTTTTAAAATTGCCTCTTACAGTTTTGCAGATTTTGATGATTTACATCTTGCGCGCACATTCATTATGGTAGTAGCCGTTCTAACTTTGATTTTAATGAAGCACTGTAGGCTTGCACTAAATTATACAGTAATAAGTAGCGAGTAATAATAACAGTAACAAGTTTCTTAACAGCAACGAAAGGATTAATTATTTTTATTGCCCACCTATGACATCGTGGCAAAGGTGGAGCGATTTATAAATTATAAATATATGCAGTGTGTATAACAATTATTCTATATAGTTCCGACAATAGTGGTACTCGTCGAAAAAATGTTTGAAACATAAAGATTTCTTACACCATGCGCATTTAATTATTGCCACGTCACCGCAAATATGACATGTTGGCTCATTTTCAACAGAATAGCAGTACTCAACAGAATTCTGGAATGCATTTGGCTTTTCATCTATATATCCGGATTTATACCAGGAGTATTTAATAAAATTTTGGAACCTTGGCGATGAAAATTGATTGTGGACCAGAGATTGAAGTTTAATTATATTATTCCTAGCGTGGAGATTAATGTCGTGATTTAAAACGAGAACTATATCGGAAAATCGGCGGACGAAATTTTTCCAAGTGCGGAAACCGTAAACATCCAGTGGTTGAACATACTTTGTTCCACCTTTTGGTATTATAAAAAGTTTTACATTTTTACCCTCGGGAGTAACTTCGTTCACCGTCTTCTTACAGTGACCACTCCAGGAATCAAGAATTAGAACTGTTGCGGCCCCAGTATTTGCGAAGTAAATCTCTCTTAACCAGGTCTTGAAATGGTCCGTAGTTAATTTGCCTGACTTTGAAGCTACAAGATATACATTGTCAGGGCGAAATAAATGTTGTTCCACAATCGGCCCGAAATGTCCTGTACTCTCTTTCAGTACAATAAATAATGGTGACAGTAATTGTCCATCAGCTGAAATGGTTGGCTGGATGGTGTAACTATGAGTGGTGGATGACACTGATTGAACACCTCCTTCTACGATTTTTATACCTTCTTCAGCCAAAGTGCGCCCTGAATGTAATTCCAAATTAAAACCACTTTGATCGGAATTGTAAACATTGTGTGGTTCATTTCGGGCTATATATGATTTTACTTCATTCACGAATGCGCTGCATTGCAAATGAATATCGTCTTCTCGATTTACCATATTTGTGGTTACAAATCTGGTAATTTTTCTGGACACTAATCTAAACATCTTTTTAAAAGTATATAGCCAAGTATATCCGGCTTTAAATGTTTGTAAATTTTCTATATCCCTCGCTTGTAAAGCCCATCGCCGTAGATCTACTTCATGCACAATTACTCTTAACTGCCGAGCTTCCATAAATTTATTAAATGTATACTCTGCAATACGTTTTATCTTTTCCTTTTTTGTGCCACCCTGTTCAACTTGTAAAGCCCATTTACGAAGCATTCTTTCGGATTTCACGTGACGGAATTTGGAACGTACGGTGTCTAATTTTAATCGCTTCGACTTCCCGCTGTTCCAGTACGCCACAGCTTTCCTTTTATATTCGAATGGGATGTATTCCTTATTCGAATGACATACAACGTCTTGTTCGTATATGTTTGGAATATTCGGTGTCCTATTTTCCTCCTCTTCATCTACCCACAACCAGTTCAAATCAGCATCCTGATTTTCTTGGTCGATAGGCGTCCCGTCCATTTCAACACACGTTTCATGTTCAACCAGGAATGCCGTGTCTTCGACACTTCTTACAATTAAATCGAATAATACATCCCTTAAATTTTCTTCTGCGCTATTAATTGGCGTGGGTCCCTGGTTCCACTCAACAAACGCAGCAGACAGTAAAGTTATTACATTAATAGGATTAATATTTACCATCTTTCCGAATACAGTAAAAGCTGGATATATGCAACAAAAGATTGGCTGGATAAGTGCAACGTTTAAATGCCCAGAATCGGCACCTCGGCTGTATGGATAACCAACAATGTTCTCCCACTTATCTACCAACAAATATTATTTTCACATGACAAGGGCAATCAATTTAATTAACTTTACGATATGTCACGTTATCAAAAGGTATAATACAAACTCCATTTCAAAATACCCATTTTATCATGTTTATTACAAAAACCGTCTCGATTTTAAAGAATGTTAATAACAACAGAGATACAGATGCACATACTAATCTCATTTGACACGTATTTTTATTATACAAATTACACAGAATGCTTTCACAACAGTGAAGATTTAGATAACGTGCGTAAACTGCATGATAGGCGAGCCGCAGAAATGACAATATTTATTTATTCAATTTGTATTTTAAAGCAAGTACATCATGAGAATAATAAGTGTATCTTTATCTCCTGGTATACACACTGTATGTATTTATAATTTATAAATCGCTCCCCTTTTGCCACAATGTCATAGGTGGGCATAAAAAAAAATCTTTTTATTGCTGTTAAGAAACTTGTTACTGTTATTATTACTCGCTACTTATTACTGTATAATTTAGTGCATGCCTACAGTGCTTCATTAAAATCAAAGTTAGAACGGCTACTACCATAATGGATGTGCGCGCAAGATGTAAATCATCAAAATCTGCAAAACTGTAG